ACGACTTCATGGGGCATTTCCACAGTGCAGAGAAAATAGATGCACATAACCTCAGGAGCACAGACAATAGTAAAATGTAGTAACATGCTTAGGAAGTGGTGGATTTTGAGTACTTATTACTTCTTAAAAATAAAATGTGTCTGATTGCAGGCTTACATAATTAAATTTTTACCAATGGTTGTTCTAACTACTGACTCAAAATTCCAGAGAAGTCAACCGTCTGTTTCCACACGCATGAACTGGCTCCAGCACACTCTACATGGAGCAGAGAGAACAGTTCTAGGCTCATGGAGGACAGCTGGGCGTCATGGTGGCAGAATGGAGCAGAGGTGGGGAGGAGAAAGGGCATGGAGTCAGGGCTGTGAAGAAGACACAACCTTCAGAACCAAGTGGCTTCTAGGGTGTAGGGGCGCGGGAAAGCAAGGATGCGGAGAGTGGCTCCCAGGTTAAGGGTGGGGGTGAGTGAGTGGATGGGGGATCCCATTAGCCAAGCTAGGGATTGTACTATAGCAGGAGCAGATATGGAGAGAGGCATGGTTACTTCAGCCTCATCCATCCTTGTGCCTTCCAGGCCAAAGTGCCAGGTGACCGATGCTCACTGAACGGATGGATGGCCACTCGGCTTAGGCTGAGCAAAACACCAAACACCGAACAGGTCTCCTCTTTGGAAGTGACTCAGTTCCTTTGAAGGAGCCAGCCACCAACTGTTGCTTTGGAAAAAGAAAATTTTCCAGAGAGTGCTAACGCCCATAAGTTGCATAAAAAACTGGAAAGTAGAACATCAACAAAAGTCAGGTCTAAGGTATTGTAAAAGACTCTTGAGGTCAGTTAGCACAAGCATCCAGAGTAAGCAGAATCTTGCAATAATCTTTGGGTCTGAATGACCCAAATCAAATAAAAGTTCAACCTTTGGAATTTTAGTTAAACTTAAGGGAAAAACCCTCTTCCCCAAAGGCGAAAGTAGAACATCAACAAAAGTCAGGTCTAAGGTATTGTAAAAGACTCTTAAGGTCAGTTAGCACAAGCATCCAGAGTAAGCAGAATCTTGCAATAATCTTTGGGTCTGAATGACCCAAATCATATAAAAGTTCAACCTTTGGAATTTTAGTTAAACTTAAGGGAAAAACCCTCTTCCCCAAAGGCCAACATAGTATCTCCTCTTTGGATCCTAGTTGTCTTAAATGAGTTAGAGTTAAATAGATAACACTAATTTTTAAGAAATAGCTCAGCTATGTCTCTTTACCATTCATTACCAAACCTATCTTAGTTTCCTAGAGTCAAACTAGTTTTTCTCCATGTTTAGGCCTCCAGGGTTGAGGCTCACCTAAGCGGGGCCTCCCTGCAGGAGCAGGTTATTACTAGTGAGCAGGATGATGGCTTCATTCAGAGGGAAACTTCATTTCCAACTCAGACGTATAGTTCCCTCCCCTCTGATTTTACCACGCTCTACCTCCCACTTGTCCCCACCACAGGCCAAGTGCCACCTTACAAACATCTACCGATGTGGCATAGAGGACAGGATGAGAGAACAGAGAGGGAAAGAAACTCCATCCCTGTGCACGACAGACACGCCCTGCTGGCCACAGGGGCAAGCTTCTCTGCCAGGGCAAAGGGCACACATGTCTGCCTGAAAGTAGGCAGCCTCCTTCCACACCGCACCTGCTCAGTGTAGGTGCACGTGCGCAGATGTTCTCAGTTTACCTTCCCCCTCATCAGCCAAGAGACTGCCTCTCAGCTTCAGACCTCTGGGCTTCCATGAAGCCTGTCATGACCAGCTAAGCAGCTACCACCACACCAGGCACAGAGTCATCTCTCCCTCTGCTGAGTGACTTTCCCGTGCATGCAACCCTATGGCTGAATGCTCAGCATCCCTGCCGGTCTCTCCATCCCCTGCTGCAGGCTCCTGCTGCTCTCGTGCCCTCAGAGCCTCCCATGGTCCTTGACACACAGCAGGTACTCCATGCATGTCTGCTCAGGGTTTGGCTGTTCAAAATGTGGCTTCTCAGGAAAATATGTGATTTCGCAACATCGGAGCTCTTTCTTTAAAAAGCTTCTTGTAAATATGTACTAAAACCAAATGGAAAAATTTGGATAATTTTGTTTACTTAGTAGTTTTACCAAATATATCAACAAATATTTTGTGGCACCTGCTGTGAGTAACATACATATGTACAAACTCTGTATCACGGTAAATTGCAATTATATAAAACACATTTCTAAATGTGAATAGCCACTTTCAGAGATAATTGAGGTCATGTTCCAGTTATAACGGCCTTTTTCTCTAATTTTCTTTTAAGTCACACTTGGATGTGTGCTTTAGAAGGATACAGCAGATATTCTTTGTAATACTATGTGAACTAGACAGAGCTGTAAACTTTTCCTGTAAAGGACCAGATGTCAAATATTTTAGGGTTTGTGGGCCATATGGCCTCTGTTGTGACTACTCAGCTCTGCTGCAGTGTGAAAGCAGCTGCACCACAGTGAGGCTGTGTTCCTATAATACTTTACTTACAAGACAGGCCACATTGGACCTGTAGATTGTCATTTGTTGCTCCCTGTCCTGGGTTGTGTGCTTCTCCAGTGCTCGGTTTGCTCTTTCCCTGTGCTGCATTCTATTTACCCTGTTTACCTGTTGGTGGGCCTATGGCTTCTGGAACAGAGACACAGTGTCCCTGGGGCCAGCACAGAATAGGTGTTTAATACACATCTGGGGAGAAAGTGTGTGTGTGGTGGTGGAAGGGAGACGATGTTTACAGCAGACAAACTTCACTGAGCATTTCCAGCCTCTTGGCAAAAAGCTACAGCGCTCAGGGAGGACAAGAGATCTTTGCTGATGACAAGCACTACCAGAAGACAGCAGCCGGGCCCACAATTTCATTCCTTGTTAAAATGCAAACCCACAGGCTGAGTTGACGTCAGGGCTACACGCCAGAAAGCAGCACCACCGGAACTGCCTGCAGACAGGCTGCCCCCCACCCTGGGGAGCCCCCGCCAGCGCAGACCCCATTGCCTTGTACTTTAGCCTCCTTCGATGAGGAGAAAAATACCGCAGCTAATGGAAGTACAAAAATGCTTTGTTATTGGAAAATCTGTCTCTCTAGGTCTGTGCAGCACTATGAGGTAATGTCAGTGTCTCATGGTATCTGAGCTCTGTGTTTCCACTCTTCTGAGAACAGCAGATAATTCATGGTAGTAAAGGCTTTTCTATTTAGAGCCTTGAAAAGAGGAGGTGGCCCCTCACTTCTGCATCCTGAAGTCCTATGCTAAGGGCTTGCCTACCTTCCCTGGCAGACAGGAAGAGTTTACAGCTGGCAGGAGGCCAGGACTGAGACATTCAGTTCATTCAAGTTAACTAACAGCTCGAGGGCCTACTATGTGCCAGGTGGCCTGGGCACACAAAGACAAGCATAGATGAGTGAGTCTGCTAGAGAGGACAGGGCAGTTTAGCACACAAATAGCTATGAAAATGCATTGGGGGGATGACACAAAGCAGAGAAGGTGCTGTAGGGGCCGTGAGGAAGGAGGTAGTACTTCATATTTCTTGGGCTGGACCATGAAGGACTGGTAGGATTTGGGCAGGTGGAGGTGCAGGGAGACTGGTGCAGGAGATTGGGGGTCCCATTCATTAAGTGAGAAAGGGAGGACAGAGTTGGTGGGGGCTGGGTGTGCTTGATTTTGGACATGAACTGTACTTGGTTAATTTCTGGCATGAGAATAAATGAACCCAAGTGGGCCCATGTCCTCTCCTGTAGATCCACAGCCCAGAAAGGTTGGTTTGCACTGCTTGTGTTCAGTAGTTTGTTTCTAAAGGGACACCAGGATTTCCTGCCCCTCCTCCTCTGCCTGTGTCACCTCTCACGCAGACTTCATTTTTCCCCCTGGTATGTCTCAACTTGGCTGCTGGAGGATTTTTTTTTTTTTTCCTATGAAAGTCCATTCCCTTCCTTTCCCAGAGGTCTCCAAGGACTTGTCTCTCAGCGTGACTATATGGAATTAACTGAAAATTTCCTGATTCCAGATGAAATTCTCAGTGCTTTATTTTTTGCTAAACTAAATCTTATGGAAAAGCACATGGACGCGGGCATGGACACCTTTTATGTCTTGAGACAAGTGACTGAAAGCCCTGCCCGGCACACTGGACTCAATCCCACCTTCCCTCCAAGAGTGTCCCTCGTCCTGTTCGCCCAGTTTATCTCCCTGCCCTTGCCACGCCTCACCTTCTCATCCTGCACTTCACAAGTCTCCACCATGCTCACTAAAACTGATTACACCCTGCAAGCCCTTGAAATACCTCAGGAACATTGTCCCTTCTTTTAAAATCATCAAAGTCAATGGCCATATTCTGTAAGTTTTCAAAAATAAATCACTGGTAATTATGTTTGTCGTACACTTTTTAGTCAATAAATTATAAAGCATGAAGTGGTAGAAATATAATCCACATAATCCAGTAGTAGAAGTACAAATCAAACAGAAAAAAATACCTATATCAATGTCATTCTCTATTATGAAACTACCTTAAAAAGTTCTTAAATATAGCAACTTATTAAAATTCTGCTACTTCAGAAGACAACATTCAAATGACTTAATGGTAAGAAAAAAATCACTGTACTAATTTGGGATAATTCTTGTTTTGGGTATAAATTTGCAGGGGAGAAATGCTCAAATGGGTATATACTTTTCATCTGTTTAATAAATTAAGACAGGAAAATAGAACATTTTTTATTTGGAGAAAAAATTTTATGCTCTCATAAAATATATTACTCCAGAGAGTTGCTCAGCCACAAGCTAAATTATAACTGATGTACGCTACTAATACAGGCTTGCAGGGGAATTTTTAAAAAATATTTGTCAGAGGAGCCTAATTTTCCCATAAACCGTCTTAATTGGTGATTGCAACAAGAAATGGAGAAAGACAGGCAGAGAACAGCGGTGAGACGCACCCAACGGAAGTAGCACACGGTCAAGCCGACAAAGCCAGGGAAGTAAGCTGCGTACTGTACCTGCTTGTTATTGTCAGTGGTGCAGCACAGCTTCTTGAGGGAGACAAAATGCCTAATCTTCCTAATAACATAAATAATCAGTTATTAGTGAAACAGATATGAGTCAGCAAATGAAAACATCAACAGAGTCTTCTTAAAGCAAAACTCCAGGGTCTATCCTAGGGCAGATTTAAAATTCAAGCAAAACTCAATCTACGGAAAACACATTTTTCACACAGAGCCCACACATACCTTCAGAAACTGGGCCTCCCTTACAATCAGACCTGGCTCAGAAACACTCTCCCAGTGGGTATTTCATCCTGAAACTGACTTCTGAAGTTTGGCTCCTAGATATCTTCAGGGATAGGATGAAATGCTACTATAGACAAATTGGCTTTAATTCTGCAGACACTAATAATTTTATAGCTTACATAAAAAGCAAAAGACTCATTTGGACAATGACCAAATTTCGTGGTTGCTGTTTTTATATTAAATGTTCCATATTCTTTCACACTGTGGTTATCATAATGATGGCATTTTTCAGGCAGAGAAAAATCCTCTTATTTCAAGGTCATGGATGGGATCCTGAAACACAGCCTATGGTCTTGCTCATTACCACAAGGGAAACCAGGCAAAAAACAACAGGTGCCTCAGCCTTGTGCAAAAATCAACTCAAGGTAGATTTTCTGCTGAGAGTAAAGCCATGAAATCCAGAGAGTTACATTAGACTTTACGCCCCAGAAGCCCCAGGGGCATCCTCTCTCTCTCTCTCTCTGGTTCATTTTTCTTTGGAGGATTCTGAAGAGGGCATAGAAATTATTGGTTTTTCTGTAATGAGATTCACTCAAGTAGGAATAGGTAAAATTCCCCTACTTTTAATAAGAATTGCCTCTGAGAGCTCACCGCCTACAATTAGGGGGAAAATAACACTGGAAATTGTTTCTGGACAAAAGAATGTCTTTCTCTTATCTGTAAAGTCAGAAAGATTAGAAAAATTTATTCTCACAGAAATTACCAGGAAATAGAATGTCTCCTCTGCTTTGGTTACCTAATGATTCTGGTCACAGACACAAAAAGTGGTTTTTAGCTTCAATTTTCTGAGAAGATGGTAAAAGCCGCACGATAGCCGTGGACATTATCTCCATCCTGTGGCTCTGAGCACTCTCCACTGGTGGGAATGGCCGTGCTGAGGCCGTAGTGCTCAGGAGGAGGGCCTGGGGCCAGTTCTCGGAGGCTTGTAGCCCTTGGTCTGGGACCTGTCAGTGTCCCCACCAACCAGAGTGAAGCAAAAGAGGGGCCACAAATTACAAAATGGCACGAAATACCAGGTGGCAGTCTCTCAACTGATGGGAGAACAATTTTGAAATTAACCAGACAAGTAAAATTGGAAGGGAAACAATCTACAAATATTTTGCCGATTTTATGGAGTGTCTAGTTTTCTAATCACACAACAATTTGCAAGGGACTCTGGTAGTCCTAAGAGACACAGGTGGGACTGTCCTGTTCCAGTTACTGGCACAATAACTGCTGTCTTGTCTTTTTCTAAAACATCACACAATGTCATGTGTCCTTTATAGACTCAAGCTTTGAAGCTGGTGTTGACCTGCAGGGTGGTTTCCAAAGTCGCAATAGTGATGTGTTGCTGGGGGATCCTGTTGGGCNCGAAATACCAGGTGGCAGTCTCTCAACTGATGGGAGAACAATTTTGAAATTAACCAGACAAGTAAAATTGGAAGGGAAACAATCTACAAATATTTTGCCGATTTTATGGAGTGTCTAGTTTTCTAATCACACAACAATTTGCAAGGGACTCTGGTAGTCCTAAGAGACACAGGTGGGACTGTCCTGTTCCAGTTACTGGCACAATAACTGCTGTCTTGTCTTTTTCTAAAACATCACACAATGTCATGTGTCCTTTATAGACTCAAGCTTTGAAGCTGGTGTTGACCTGCAGGCTGGTTTCCAAAGTCTCAATAGTGATGTGTTGCTGGGGGATCCTGTTGGGCTTTGTAAACCCAGAAATTTGTAAACCCAGAAACTAACAGAAATTAACTGGGAGGAGGAATTGCATATTTTCCTCACCTCCCCACAAGACAGGCTTCTCTGGTAATCTGAGATTCAGTGGCATTGGACGTCCTCAGGTCCTAGTCAGACCCACCTTTCCTCCAGTGCTTTCTCACCTCTTATGGAACAAGCCCACAGCTGGCCTGAAGAGAACCAGCAGAGAGCCGGGGCCACAAGGAGAGTAGGTTGGCTTCCTGCAGGCTGAGGGCTGAGGCCAGGGAGCCTGGCCAGAAGTTATTTGTTGTTATGGGCTAAGCAAAGCCTGGAAATGGAGCCCCTGTTGAGGGTACTGGAAATGATGGAACCTCAGGAGATCGGGTGGAGGTGGGCAGTTGGGGAGTTGGGGTGCTGCTTCATAAAAGACTCTAAGCAGAGAAGAGAAGGGGAGGGAAACCACGGCCAGGGGCTGCTGCTGGCCAGATGGAGGTGCGCTGGGTATGTACAGCACAGCCCTACTGTATTTGTGGAGCTGAGGCTTACACCAGCTTTGCAATATGCAATCCCAATGCCCACGAGGGCCCCGAATCTTTTTTTCAGCTAAAAGAGTTGAAGAGTTTGCACTCACCCTCCTTGGCCAATCACTGGGGTGATCTTCACGTGCTGTTGGATGCTGTCCCCGGATTTCCGTCTGGCGTAGTAAACCCCCTGCCACTCCTACATGGACAAAGAGAGCGCTTAAAATCCTTCAGCAGAGGCTTGCAGCTGCTCCTATGGAGGGTCCCAGCAGGCTGAGTGAGAACCTTCTCACATGCTTTCGTTATACTTCAAAAAGCTCTGCTGGATCACTGCCCCCACTGCGATGCTGACATGGCCACACGGCATGAAGACAGGACCACTCAGCAAAGTGTGCAGTGCCAGGCTGCTGTCTTGAGTCCCAGGACACTAGACCAGAGGGTGGAATTCCTGCTCTCAGCCATTCGGGTGCTGGGGCACCGGGCCAAGATATTCTTCTGAGGTCTCTCTCAAAATCTTTACAAACAACCTGTGAGCTTGGCATTATCATCCTTAATTTACAGGTGGGTAAAGTGAGGCTCAGAGATTCTGACTAATTGGCCCTCCTTAGGAAGCGGAGGATCTGGTTAAAATTCATATCTCTTTAACTCTCCCTGAAGTCCACATCTTTCTAACATGCTATGGGCCTTCCAGGCAAGGCTTCTATGGGGTTAGTCTGGCTCCTCCAAGTTTCCAGACAAGGGCAAGGGAAGTGTGAAGATTCCTGCTCTGGACCCTGGGGATCCATGTGGGATGAAGAGCCAGGTGAATTCCAGGGGAACCCTGGGGCACCTCCACTATTTCTGGGAGGGAGTGCTTAAATCGGAAAGCTTCCCTGCAGCCATTTCTTGCCCTTCCCTCACATAACGTGGCTAACTGGTATGCACACAGGGGTCCCCAGATGTGTGGCTGCCTTCTTTTTGGAAAATTTTCTTGGGGTAGTTTACAATGTCCTTATTTCTTTTCAGTCTCACTGTCCCAATTTTTTTATTAATATGAATTTCATATATAATCATCTATAATTTTTTTTATTATTAATTTCATCTATAATCCAAACTTATTTTATCTCTGTAAGATGGCTCCCCTCTTAAATGGATGCAATGCTTATCTCACTCCTTCCCATCAGAGAAAGGGAGATGAAAGAAATAGCATGTGAGAAGCATTGCAAATGCTTGAGCGGAAAAGCACAGGCACCGCGGTCCTGACAGCCAGTGCTCCTCTGCAGGGAGGGCTTGAGGGAACCTTCGCACTGTGTTTCTCCCTCTGCCTGCATCTGCGGATGAAGCATGGGAGCCGCTGGGAACAGGTGCGGCAAGGGGAAGGCAGCTGCACAGTGACGAGTAAAGAGAACAGAAACAGGGAGACTGACGAGAAACTGGGCCTACGGATGGTAGGGTGGTAAATACTGATGTTAAACACTTCTAATCGCCCAAAGACTGGATAAACTGAAAACACCTGGCAGCGGGATCTCTGCTCAAAGATAGGCACGATATTCCAACAACGACAGGAGGGATATATTCATGCAAAGGGTAAAATGTCCTTTCACAAAAAAGGTTGGTTTCACCCACCTTTCCCTTCTTGATACACGTGTTGATGGTGTCGAGAAGATCTGCCCGGTTCTTGTCGCTTTTGGGCAGCTCTGCCAGCTCTTTCCCCAGCAGCTCACCTTTGTGGTAGCCCATCATCCTTTCGAAGGCTGGGTTGACATACTGTTAACAGAAGGGGGAAAGCTCAGTGCAGGGACACGAGGCAGGGATCACGAAATGTCTGCATGCCCTGCCCCGAAGGAAAGCTTGTTGTGTCACACAGGCAAGAAGTTCCCCGAGCAAACGTGCTCTGTGCAGGTGCGGCTGTCTGCTCCATCCCCAGCCCCCTGGAGTAGGTGCTTCCCACCTGAGCAGCAATTTTTTCATTCAATCACCATCCTGGCCCCCTTCAGGAAACTCTTTAGCAGGAAAAGAGCAGGAAGCCCTCATCTAGCAGTACCAGCCTCTGGGGGGCCTCATTCATCATCCACCGCCCATGAATAAAGAAAAACTCAGAGCGGGAAAAAAAAACAGAAAGCAAAAGAAAATAAGTAATCGGAACTTAATTTGACAGGTTGTGGCTTATATTAGTCACATCTCAACAAGGCAGCAGTTTGCTCTCTTGGGACTCCTTTCCAATTGCCACTATGTTAATCAATGCTGTGAGTTGGGGCCACTTCTGGTCTAATCTGAACAATAAATTCCGTTAACTGGCGTGGGCAGGAGGCAGCCTTGAAGTGCTCCATATGGGGCAGGTGTGAGGAGGGGTTCCCCTGGGCACACACTGGGGCCAGCAGACTCAGAGGTTTCCGTCCAGAATTCTGTCCAGGGTCCTGGAAGTTAGAGCTGTTACCTCAGCTGACTCCAACCTCCTGTCCCCACCCCCAGTTTCTTTTCAAAGAACAGTCACCAGATGGGGAGCTGAGTGCAGGAGGACAAGCGGCAGGGAATGTGGGGACAATGTGAACGTAATGCTTGTGGGTCGAGGATGTCTGTGGGCATAATTTATATCCATCTGCTGCTTCAGAAACGTTCAAGCCAACTGCAGTCACTCTTGCCCTCCACCATGATGACAGCAGTCACGGACACTGCGGGGGCTATTCCCTTGGAAACATAGCTTCTATTCTCACATTCTATTTACTGGGAGTTGAAGGGGTCGGGAGGATGCTCTGGCCATCACCCCTTTTGGGAGTGGCTGAAGAGGAGGAGATCATGACACTGTCTTCACGGATCTCCAGATCCATCCTGACCTCGTCACTTACACTGTGGACCCACAGCTCCCTGGCCCATCCCTGCAGGCTGCTGAGCTGTCTGCACATCTCCCTCATCTCCGGGCCTTTCCCCAAGTGCTCTCTCTGCATAGAATGCCCTTCCCCATCTCATTGCCTCACCGACTCCAATTCATTCCTCTCCTCCTCCAGGAAGCCTTCCTTGACCCTCTGGCCAGTCTGAGCTGGGGCCACTCCTAAGAGATCCCAATGACTCCTGTGCAAACTTCTAGTGACTTATTACATGGAACTTAAGTTTTTGTTCACTTTCTGTTGCACCAGACTTTAAAATTCTCAAGGGAAAATATCACTTTGTTTTTATCTTTGTATACTCAGGACTGTTTGGTAAATTTATGATGAATGAATAGATAATATTAGAGAATGTGTTGTTTTCCTTATTTTTTGGCTATATTCTCATACATTTTCATAAATGTTTATTCTGCCTTACCCATTAGGTTCCAAATATGGGTAGAAGTCATGGCCCTTCTTTCATGCCAGGGTTCCTGTAACCTCAGAATATAGCAGGTACTCTAGGACATGGGCTCTGGAGCCATGGCACTCAAGCTCAAATCCTGGCTTTGACAATTACTAGTTATATAATCATGGGCAAATTATTTAACTTTTCTGGTCCTCCATTTCCTCAGGACATAATAGTAGTACCTGACTCATAGGATTGTTTTAAGAAATAAATGAGTATGTGTAAAATGCTTAGAACTGAGCCTGGCAGATGGCAAGTGGCATGTAAGTGTTTTAAAGCACATAAATAAATAGTTTAGATAGATGGAGGCATGGAGGGGGGAGGGATAGATAGATAGATAGATAGATAGATAGATAGATAGATAGATAGATAGATAGATAGATAGATAGATAGATAGATAGATAGATAGATAGATAGATAGATAGATAGATAGATAGATAGATAGATAGATAGATAGATAGATAGATAGATAGATAGATAGATAGATAGATAGATAGATAGATAGATAGATAGATAGATAGATAGATAGATAGATAGATAGATAGATAGATAGATAGATAGATAGATAGATAGATAGATAGATAGATAGATAGATAGATAGATAGATAGATAGATAGATAGATAGATAGATAGATAGATAGATAGATAGATAGATAGATAGATAGATAGATAGATAGATAGATAGATAGATAGATAGATAGATAGATAGATAGATAGATAGATAGGCAGGCAGGCAGTATTGTTCCTAGATTTTAAGTGCTACTGCCTGAACTCTGAAGACGTGCACTCACAAAGAGTCACGTAACTATTCAGTTGGAGCCCTGTGAAGCACGCTGGTGTCAAATAAGAGTGTGTATGAAATATCCATCCCATCCATGATGACGCATCCTCGAAGTCTATAGCACAAAGGTCATTTCAGTATCCCCCTTCATGTAGCATCCTATATTCAGCATCTTCCTCCTCCTTCTTGTTTTGAGATTTTATTTCAGATTGCTGATGTATTTTTAAAGAGAACATGCAGAGGTTCCCTGAGGAAAAACCTGTAATGTCTTATTTCAGAATCCAAGTTTTCAATGCATTGACTCTTCCTCCATCTCCCCTGTACAGGCACCTGCCGTCCTCAGGCCCCTGTTTCTCTCTGCTGAGGGTAAAGGCTGGGAGATGACTAATACCGTAAGTAGATGCCATATTACCTCTGCCAGAGATACAGGTTTCCTAACCACCAATTGCTAACTGTAGAATGAAGGACTCAATGCCCTGTTCAAGGAGTTGGCTGTTAGATTACCAGAGGAGACGCTGGGGACAGGGAGGGAGCCCTTTTCCTAATCACAGCCCAGCAGCCCACTGTTAAATGGGGAGCCGCAAAGCAAACGAGTTTCAGCAGTAGAATAGATAGTGCAAGTCTGGGGAGATGCGGGATTTGTGCTTGGCCTGTAACAGAAACATATCTGGCTTTCTCTGCAGTCCAGGAGGCAGACCCAAGGGCAGGAGGGCCAATAATAACCGGCAATATGAGGAAGCCTCAAGGGACAGCCAGAAAAACAAATTCTAAAAATACAGCCTAATAGAAAAGCAGGTAGGAAGGCTTGGGAGGTGGAAAGACATGGCTTTGTATTTTGGTTCCAGTACTTATTACTAGGGCTTTCCTTGGATAAATTCCTTGACCTTGCTGGGTCTCCGTTTCCTCATCTGCACTACAGGACAATTATGTCTCTTTCATTGGGTTACTGAATGGAAATGAGATAACCTAATGAAGGTGCTGATGACAGGGCCCAGGCATGCTGGGCTGCTGGTGTTACGGGTCTGGTACGAGAGCAGGGTGCCTGTGCGTGCACTGGGAGGTTCAGAGGAGACGAATGTGAGGCTCCTGCCACGGGGGTCACTGTGGTTGCCCACTGTCTTTGGTGCTCTACTGATGACAGCAAGTGTGCCTTACTCTCAGTGCCACTAAGAACCAACTGTAGTCAGGCCAGTACCGATTAGTGGAAAGTCTGCATTTTGGAGTATTTTTAAGTGTAGATGTCTTACTTTCCAACAATTATAATAAGAAAACCTTATTTCAACAAATATTTGTCTACTACACACATTTCCTCAGGAAGATGACTTTAGCATGAGAGTGCTTTATAATTAGAATACCAAGTACAGGCAAATACATGAGATCTTTGAAAATATTCTCTTCCCATAGACATTTAAAAGCATTTACTCTACAACTTTGATTTACTTCTGTGTAAATACTGTCTTCACAGATGGTCCAAAGAATTTACCTCATCTCTGTCAAAGAAATTGCAGGTTCTGCTCTGAATTACTAATTGTTTATTCTTTATTGAATACCTAATTCTTAGCTTAAGTCCATCAGTATTCTTTGCACACTTTGATTTTCCTTTCTCCAAAGAAAATGTACTAATATGTGAGAATAATGGCAGAGTACTTCAAAAAGGATGGTTCAAACTGGAAAGGTTCTATTTTTGACATCTAATGATATAAAGTGTTTCCTTCCATACCTGAATCACGTGGTCATCACTCGTTATTTCTATGGCTTCATGACAGTGGTCTAATGCTGTAAACACTGAATTACAGGCCCTAAAAGTTGCAAAAGATTAGAGTTAGTTCTTCTATAAAAACTGTTCACATTTCATCTGTTAATTTAATAAAGTAAATAGATCCCAGATTCATTAAAACCATGTACTTTTTGTTAGGCTATGGCCTGAATGTTGGTATTCCCCCCAAATTCATACATTGAAACCTAATCACCAAGGTGATGGTATTAGAAGGTGGAGCCTTTGGGAGGTAATTAGGTTATGAGGCTCCACTCTCATAAATGGGGTTAGTGCCTTTGTAAAAGAGGCTCAGGTGAGCTCCCTTGCCCTTCCACCCTACGAGAACACAATGAAGGAGGGCCATCTATGGGGAACTGGCCTTCACCAGACACTGAACCTGCCAGCACCTTGATCTTGGACTTCTCAGCCTTCAGAACTGTCAGCAATAAATTCCTGTCATTTATAAATAACCCAGTTCAAGGTATTTTGTTACAGCAGCCCAAGTGGACTATGACAGTTATTATGTGTAAATGATACAAAAAGACGGATCGCAGGTGAGCCAAATGTTCATGGGTTGTGGACCAAGCTATTTGTGTGCTTAGTGAAACTCCAACACCAACATGAGAATGAACATGAGGAGGAGACTGTCCTGTAAGTCCCATGTGTTCTATGTTAGTGAAGTTCTTCTGTTTCATTCATAGTCATGGTCACGGAGAAGGCAAATCCTATTGGTTAGGAGAACACAGTTAGGCCTAAATTGGATCTGAGGTATTCTGGCCTTTTGCAACAGACACAGACACATTTTTTCTCCTTTCTTACTTTTGTGCTGTCAATTTGTTTCCAACCACCCCCTGGCATGATGAGAGGCAAATGCAGCAGGATTCCCCTTGCCTACTTCATGGTATCTATGTGGCCCTCCAGGGTGTATTTTCCTTGGTGACCCTTTCTGTATATCCAGAATATTTGAAATCAGACTCATTTCCTTGGCTATAATTTTAACTAACTTCTAAATCTAGAGTAACTCCAAATACAGTAAGTTATTTACTGTCCAACACAGCAAATATGTAGCTAGAGCTTTATTACTTATACTGTTTAAAGAATCCCAAAGAAGGCTTTCTTAAACATTACAAAAAGAAAAAAAAAAGAAAAAGAAAAATATTGATTTACTGGATTCACATTTTTTCTTATAAAACAGACTCTTAAAATGTTATTTTTTCCACTCATAAAAGCTGTCTAACATTGCAGCCCCGTTTTGATCTATTTATAGGAAAGAAGGCAGAAAAAACTGGGTGAAATCAGACTATTTATTTCCAGTTTGGGGACTGGGGGCAACTTTTTGTCTTCTCTGACCCTTGGTTTCTTCATCTGTAAAATGAGAATAATTATTTGTATTTGACAAGTTTTTATAAGGATCAAAACAGTTTATGTCAGGCATTTCTCAAAGTACTTGGGACAATACAAGAATTCAACACATGCTATGTACGTGTTATTGTTGGTAAGATCACAGAGTAATATTTCTTTGTTCTCTAAGGCTTTCAAAAGCCTTTGGTGAAAAGAAAAATGAATTATAACCTATCTTTTCTCATGAGTATACCTGAAATGTCAAACCAAGAACTATATTCAATAATAGCAAGGTAACCTGCATGTGGAGAGGATTTTAGCCCCCTGAAGGGTGGCATTCCTATGGCTGCAGATTTGAAAATATCACTGTGTGAGGATAAGTAAAACAAATAATCATGGGCCGGCCCGGTGGCGCACTCGGTAGAGTGCGGCACTTGGGAGTGCGGCGGCGCTCCCGCCGAGGGTTCGGATCCCATATAGAGACCGGTCTGCTCACTGGTTGAGTGCGGTGAGGGCGCGACACTGAGGGTTGCGATCCCGTTGCCGGTCACGAAAAAAGACAAAAAGGAAAAAAAAAAAAGTAATCATGATGTGGGTGAGCAGAGCAGAGGAGAATACCAACCTAACTCGACTGAAATTCCTGAGTGGTGCAGTATATTTTCGTACTTAAATTGCTCCCATCCACCTAATTTGAACTTTATACTGCCTTATTACCACCACTGCATTTGTAAACACAACCATTTAAAATAAGAAAAAAGAATGAAAGAGGACCTTAAAACTGTCACCAAAGTCTGCCCTGCCTCTCAAGAGGCAAGCAAGCACTAGTCTTATCAAAAGTACTTTCCAGGCACCTGGCCCAGACTGGCCTCAGCAGTGACTATCTTTCAGAAGTTACACATGGAAAAACAAAGTCCATGTGAGCTAATTTGTTAACTTTGAGAGCTGGATAATTATGCTCCAATTAACACATTTTATCAAATAATAAATTCCTCTCTTGCCTAAGTATTTTCTCTAAAGCACCTGTATATCTCAACTAAGTATATGAACAGGTACTTCAGAGTATTATCATTTTTGTCAATTCAAGAGGCTGCCTTTATATAAGATCTTAGATCCAACCTCCAATTTTATCTATTAAACATTCATTTCATGATTATCTACAAGGCATAAATATCCGATGAGTATATTGCTGAAAAGGACAATGCAAATTCTTGTGGATAGCTGAAGTAACAGGACATCTGTAGGAGCAGTGTATTATTTTCCCCTGTGGCAGACACTACCAGACTGCAATGTTTATTTGGGCTTTTAACCTATTTTGGTTCAAGATTCTATTCAAATAAACCTGCAGCAAAGTGGGGTAATCAATTTGAGTCCCGTTCTAGAGTTTGGGAACTTAATCGTTTGTATTAATTATTCATAGTCTTCAGGCAGAAGAACCTTAACTTTATTAATTTTCTGTTCTTGGGAATCACACACCTCTGCATCTCAAATATCTTTATTTTTATCCTTCAGGTTAAGAAGTTGAAAAATTGAAAAAAGAAACAGAAGGAAAAGGTAACCTGGGTGTGGAAACCCAGGAAGTATGGGCACTATAATCATTTCCCTTGTACCTTCCTAAGGCTCTTGAAGGTCCAGAGGGGAAAGGCAAATATTACAGGCTTCCAGGTATAATGTCTACAAATAACGTAGTGCAAGTGGGGTGCAAAGAGCACCAGACTGAAGATCAGGACACCTGAATTCTACTCTAGCACTGCCACACACACATTGAGCAGCTGTGATTATGTCAAAAGCCTCCTCTGTCAATTGTGGCCAGGGTGTTTGGGTTATATGATCTCCTATGTCCCTTCCAAAGGTACTCTCTCTAGATTCTACTAAAACCACACACACACACACACACATTGAGGCTGCCTGGAACAAAGGTAGCACTGGGCAAGGTGGTGGCTTGAAGAGAGGAGATTCTGAATGCAAGGCAACATCCCAGCAGGGGTCTTGGATGAATGGTGGTGGGGAGGGGGGCAGTGAATGAGGCAAGGGGATCATGGACTTGCTACTCATTGGCACTCATTCCTGGACAATGATGCAGTAGGGGCAGTTATTTTAAGCCTTCACAGCTCAGTTTCCACTCCCAGAACACAATGGCTGTCACACATAGCCCATGTGAGGACAAAGTGCTCTATGAATATCTGTTAATAACGAGATATGTAGTGTTCCATGAAATACAGGGTTCATTCATCAGAAACTGATTCTTTCTAAAATCAAGGACTGCTACTGTCTTAAGATCTGGAGTGAAATAAACATGATGATTTGGGTTTAACTCCTAGACTAATGTTGAAACAATAGCTGGTACTGCACTAGCATAAACTAATCAGCTTAAACTCTTGATAAGTAGCTAAATCGTTATCTTCATTTTAGATAAAATAGGTCTTTTCATGATGAAGAGGCATAAGAGCATTAGAAGAGATAAGTGGTCATTATTTAGCCCAGATTATCCTAGACACTCTCCATTTCATGAATTCTTCTGTTCAACAGAGTAATTCATCAAATGTATACAGAAATATGATTTAGTTCTTACATGTTTAAAAACTATTCTTCATAATGAAATCTTAAAACTAGATCATATCTTTTGTTTGATCAGATCAGAAGATCCTTTATTTTCTTGGTTAAGTAAATATGGTCACCATATATGAAGACCTGGACAGAAGTGTCCACCTTCAACATTCAACATCATCCTGCAGCACAGACTGTCCTTGCAGAATGACAGTAATGTTACATATTTAGTTGCAGCTGGGGGCGGAATTGTAGGGAAAAGTATTACATAATTAGACTATAATTATTCTGGCATTGTATAATAAAGAACCTCATTTTCCCAGTCTGCAACAAATGACATAATTGCTTGCCTGCCTCAGGGTGCAGGCAGATGCCCGAGATGTCCTTGAATGCCCTAAGGAGCTGGGGGAAGGTCATGGCATGAGTCACTGTCCCTCCCATCTGCTGGGACCAGATATAGTATACCCGCGGAGATCCACACCATGTGCATGGGTGCACACACACCCAGAAAGAGAGAGAACTTGGTAAGGTTGAGGCAGAACTGGCCAAAAAGCAACAGCTTAAACTGGTGTAGGAGGTAAGAGGTTCCTCATGCCAGGCAAACCCTCCTCCCGGGTCCACCACCTTCCTGGGTCAAGTCTGTTCACCAACTCCTTACTGATTTGTTTTAAGAACCTGAGCCTTTTCACTATGACCTCAACAATGGGTTCAATTCTCCCAACCAGTTTCAGGCAGTGAGGGGTGAGAAGTTACAGTACATACATGGTGTTAGGTTCTTAGAAACTTGCATTAGGTACTTAGAAACTTGCAAAGTTCTGAATCTGATAATACCTTGAGAAATTTTCAGCACCCTGGCTCTAAGCAGATTTCATCAGCACAATAACCTGAAGACTTTTCTTCATGCCATTGTGTTGGCTGGGGATGTTTTCTTCAAATTGCCAAGCCTGCCCTTGCCTTGCTCACCATGGACAAGGTGCCCCTAACATCCCTGAGATAGCCCTGCAATGCCCTGATGTACATTGCAGAGTCTGTATTAAGTCACCTCCTGCCATCTAACATATGCCGTCACATTAATGCTGCCTAAGAAAACAGAAGCACTTATTGAAAATAAAATGAGGGAACTGCCCATCAAAGCAATAAGGTGTTGTGCTGCTCATTTTTTTTTTGTAGATAATATAGGTTAAAGAATTAAACCACAATGAAATCCCTCTTTTGCTAATTCTATTTATTGTGCAAACATCTAAAATAAAAGTATTAAGTCTTTTTATCCTCATTTAAAAACAGTAGAGATCCCCCAGGAATAAAAAAATTAACATACATCATTAAAAAGCATAAATTGCTGATGTAGAGACAATGTGGCTTTCTAGAAAAATTCTATGAAGTTCTCTGAAGCTAATAAACATAGAAAAAAAGAGGTTTAACTCACTTATACATTCAAAAAGTCTTTGGCAATATTCCTCCTCAAAGGATGTTAAAATACTTGAATTTCCAAAATATCTTAATTCCCACTGGTTTGAGATTTTTTTTTTAATACTTTTTTTACCTAAGAAAGTGACTGTTTATCCCCACATTTTATATCTTAGAGCTCTATTTCCACCAAGAAGTGACTTCCCTGACCAGAGTGCACCCGGGGAGAACCTGCTTCTGTAGGTTTATGCCAATCCATTTTGCTTCCCAGGGACAGAGGGCAATTAAGATTAAAAGGATTTGGTAATCTTTGAATACAAAATAAGTAATCAAGAGAAGAAATATAATCACAACAGTGAAATGTTATCTTACTTATTCCCCTGTCTTCTCAGTTGGCCAGAGAGAGAAGCCATACCAGGGACTTTCCTGGCATCCTATAGCCAGAAGCTGCTAGGGACTGGCCCTTCCCAGGGCCATGGGTGGAGAAGAGCCTTCTCCTTCCCCTGATCTCTGGTTCAAGGAGGGTGAGTTGAAGAAATCAGGGTCAGAAGAACATGCTAGAATGTGCCTGAGCAAAACCAGGCAGGAGCTAGAACCTTGGTATTCCCAGAGGGCCCAGAAGCAGAGCATCCCACAATCCAGCGTCTGCCAGCAGCCAGACACTAACAGAATCTCATCCCAGGACTGAGCACTGGTGAGAAGCCTGTTCTTAAAGCACTGTGTATCTGTCAAGGAACTTAAAACCTGTTTCTTAAAGATATATCATCCATATAGAGGCCACAAACAGACTTCATGAAATTGCTATTGTGTTTCATAGCAATTATTATGGTTAGCATAATAAATGTACCCATTGGTTTGCCCCATCCATAACAATCCAAGTGGGAATTTATAAATGTTGAAAGTAGAAAGCAGAAAGTAATCCTCAAAGGCTACTCTTAATCTTGATCTAATTTCATAAAAGCTAAACAGTACTTTCCCTAGGTTATAATTTTAAAACTGCTGTAAATAGTGGAAAATACTGTCAAAAAGAAGAAATGCTTCCAATTTCTTCTATTATATCAAGGGGCCCCCAGTTTAGATACTGCTGTTTACCAGCTGCCATTACCTGTTTAATAGCTTCAAAATCCCTGGGATTCAGATATGAACCTGTAAACATCAGTGACAGATAAGATTTTCTAAAGAACTGTTAACCTTGTGTTACTGTCTTATTTTGGCACTTACCGTAATTTGAACTGTGAGCGAACTTCCCCGTGTTCTATTTGAATCAGTTCATTATAGCAAGCAATTATGTTGCTATTTTCCATAAATCTCTGAAAAGAAAGCAAAGATAATACATAAGACATATAAAATTACTTCTTAGAGAGTCAAATAGAGAAACTTAGTTGTTCTCCCAGGTAACTGTTATATAAGACAACTAGTAGGTAAGATGAGTTGAAATAAAACAGTGTTCAAGGGGTTTGAAATGCTTGTTTAACTCCCTTTATAACGAAGGTGAGATAAACTTCATAGTGAATGCTCACAGGAAAACAAGCACACAAGGGCACAGAATACCTCCCCAACAGTGTTAATTACTGAAAGGTTTTTGCTTCATATAGCACTAATAAAAATCATCTAAAACTCAACACTCGACATGTTCAGTGTGCACCACACTATCATTCATTTCTTTCAAGGGAAGAGGCTATTCTTTGCTTCCTCCTAATTTTCTGAGTGCCTAATGCAGAACGCCACATGTGATAGCCATTTAAAACTCAGTGAACTCAACAGCAAAAGACTAACAAGCCAGTCAAAAAATGGACAAAGGACTTGAACAAACATTTCTCCAAAGAAAATGTACAATGGCCAGAAAGCATATGAAAAGATGCGCAACATCATCAGTCATTAAGGAAATGCAACCAAAAGCACAATGAGATGCCACTTCATACCCAGTAGGATGGCACTAGAATGAAAAAAAGGGGGGGAAATAATAAATGTTGGCAAGGATGTGGAGAGATTAGAATGCTTGTACATTGCTGGTGGGGATATAAAATGGTCCAGTTACTGTGGGAAAATAGTTTGGAGGTTCCTCAAAAAGATAAACATAGACATACCATGTGACCCGGCAATGCCACTCCTAGGTATATACCCAAAAGAACTGAAAACCAGTACTCCAACACTTATAAATGTATGTTCATAGCAGCACTATTCACAATAGCTAAAAGGTAGAAACAGCCCAAATGTCCATCAGCAGATGATTGGATAAACAAATTGTGGTATATACATATAATGGAATATTATTCAGCCATCAAACAGGAATGAAATACTGATTCATGCTATAACATGCATGAACCTCATAAAATTGCTAAGTGATAGAATCCAGACACAAAAGGTCACATATTGTATGATTCCATTTATGTGAACTATCTCAATGGTCAACCCATAGAGTCAGAATGCAGACTGGGGGTTGCCAGGGCTGGGGGGAGGAGGACTGGGAGTGACTGCTTAATGGAAACACAGTTTCTATTTGGCGCTGTTGAAAATGTTTTATCACTAGACAACACATTGCACAACATTGTGAATATTCTAAATGTCACTGAATTGTTCACCTTAAAATAGTTCATTTTAGTCTCACCTCAATTGAAAAAAAAGCTTTCATGGATTTATATTAAAAAAAATTAGTGGATGAGTCAACAGATGGATAAGCAAATGACAAAGTTGAAGAAGATCAACACATATTGTCATTCAAAGAACCATTAAGCATCCACATGTGCTATGCAGAAGCTGCTTAGCATCCACATGTGCTACGCAGAAGCTGCTTAAGCCCAGCACTTGAAGGAGGGTAGGACCTTAACAATACCAAAGTAATTTTTTTTTTTTTTTTGCATTTCTTAAATATATTGCATTGCTTGCTGCAGAATATACAAGAAATTGAGCACTTCTCTTACAGGAACATATCAATACTTAATGAGAAATAATGAAATCACAAAAAAATAGCAAGTAAAAAATAATAAGGGAACAGATTTAAGGACAGCTCTACTTAGGAATGGGGAAAATACCTTGCATTTTAATTTACAAAAAAATACACATCATGCGAATATTTCTAAGCATATGACTGGCAAGCTATTCAGTAGAAGATAAACGAAATTCTGAAGTATTCCAAACTACCCAACCACATTCTTATGCCTCTCAGATAGCTAGATAAGTAGAGGGGGAGACTACCAGGTCCTGCTGAAACATGCAGTCGGCACTCTGTATTCAACCCACCACAGATCGAAAATGTAGTTAGGCCTACGATGGCTGTGTCTGTACTGAACATGTACAGATTTTTTTCTTGTCATTATTCCCTAAACAATACAGTAGAACAACCATTTACAAAGCATTTACAATGTATTAGGTATTATATGAAATCTATAATTTAAATCTAGAGATGATTTAAAGTGTATGGGAAGATGTGCCTAGCTTACATGCAAATATTATCAGAGACTAGACTATTTGTGGATTTTGGTGTCAATGGGGGTCCTGGAACCAATCCCTGTCAGATACCAAGGGCTGATTGTATATTTCTTAGATTTCCTTCAACCAAGTTGGCCAGAGAAAGAACAATCCCTCTCCCAGCTCCTGTCTTACATGTACTCAAACACACACATGTCCACACATCTTGAATGGATGGCTTCTCACCGGGGAATACCTTCAAAGCCCCCTGACTTTCCCTGGTCCCCTGGTCCCCTTTTATTCCGTGTGGAAGCTAAGAAGGGCTAAGGAAAGAGGGGGGAGGCATAAATATACACAGAAGAGAAATGCCTTCTCTTTGATTTACAAAGCAAAATTAAACATAGTTAAGTTCAACTTGAGCTTTTAGATGTGTATAAATGATATATCAGCTTATAACAGAGCTCTGAGGGTTATCTGATGCTTTGTAAAAACATAAAAAAAATTCTGTGATAAAATAAGTTTTGAAAATGTTGGGATAAACAGAGTTAACAGGTTTCTTTCCTACAGGAGTTCTCAGAGCATTCAATATGCTAATGTGCAACATTGCTAATGAGCACTGAAGATTCTCAGGAAAGGGAGGAGGACCCGATTCTTCACTGATTCCCCAAACTTACTTGACCACAGAAACTTTTTTTCTTGGAACACCTTTTAAGAGCTTTTGGAAAACCAGTGTTCCATGGAATAGTTTGGGAAATACTCCTTTAGTGGACCCAATATGGAGTTCGAAGTTACATAACTTACATTTGCATCTTGACTTCGTCAAGAGTGTAAGCTCTGGAAAGCTACTTAGTTGTTTTGAGCTTGTTTCTTCCTCTGCAAAATTGGAGAAAATATCAAATCCCTCACACGTAGAGGAGGATTAAGTAAATCACCTGGAACTGGGCCTGACGAATAATAAATCGTAGTTCCCCACTTCCTACTCCACAGGAAGCCTCTCCAGGGAGAAGCATGTCCTACATCCATGCCCCCACATGCCTAGCATGTTGCACTGCACATAGTCAGAGCTCCATAAATATTTGTTGAATTGCATAAGCATCATTATTTAAAAAAAAAAAAGAGGCACAAAAAGGTTGATATAAGAACAGCTGCAACTGCCCTTTGCTAAGATGCTGGTTTCTAAAAGGCTCAGCGAGGACTGAGCATCAGTACAGTCAGCTGCTTGCACACAGCTCCAAAGGTTTCAAGGGGACTTGTTGTGGGATATTTGATGGCACAATTTGTTCCCAGATCCCCACTCGGGGACCACAGACTGAAACACTGGCCAATTAGCTAGCAACACAAGGCTGAGTTTCAGCAAATGATTTAATACAATCAAAACAACTTGGAGAAGGGAAACAACCTCATGCAAGGCAAGAATAGCTGGCATATTTGGAAAGGTGCTTGGGTAGAGAGTAGCCAAAGATAGGATTTTGCCCAAAAAAGGAGAACAGCCACCTGGAGATCAGCCTCAGCTGATCATGTGCCACAGTAGCTCAGGAAAACCACTGTAAGTGCAGTGTGCTTCCCTTGGAAAGAGCCCAAGCTCTGGGGGCACCCTAACTTTGCTGGTAAATGGCCTCCATCAGACCCAGTGCTGAAGAACACCAGGTGGCCCCTGACAGGGACTGTTTTTCATGCTCCCGCCAAGGGTTTTACTCATGGTGGCCGACTGCAAAAATCGGTAACATATCTGAACAAAGAGGAAAATGAAACACCCCAGAGCATCACAGACAGGTTACAGAATGCATAAAAAGGAAACAATGAAACTTTTGTTAAATTTTCTTAATAGCATTTCTACCCAAAGAGTGCCAATTGTTTCTCCCAAGCTTTGCTGGGAGCAGATGCACAATCTCCATCCTCTAGACAAGATGCTATTACTTCAAACGACCCTGATCTCTAAGCCAGTTGGAGGTAGGACCATGGAACTAAAAACAGAATTCCAAAAGGACACTAGACAGCACTTAGGTGGGTCCTAATTGATAAGACCTGTGGTGTGTCATTGCTATCCTCCAATCATCCCCCAGGTAGTGAGGAAAACCTTCATCCTCCCACTCTGCCAGGTCCTGACTCAAACTGGAAAAAGACAATTTGGGGATGGGATGCAGGTGGGTGTCAACATTACATAGAAGAACTATGAAGCCTGTGGATAATTTTAAAGTTATTTCTTAGGAAATGAGTGAGTAAAGGAATTAAGTCTCAGCCACATGGCTTCTTTGCTTATTTTCCTTTTGCACCTCTCCGTTCCAGACTCAGAAACATTGTCCTATGCATTCGCATTAAGATATAGCACATAAGAATAGCTTTCATAACCAAATGTCAACTCTTGTGAGAAGACATGACAGAGAGGAGGGAAGTGTTAGAAGAGTGAGAAATCTTGCTAGCTAGAAACATTCATTTCCATTACACACTGTGAACCACTATACTACCTGAAATCTTTTTGATAGCACTGCTACTTCCACAGTGCAGCATACCAATGCACAAAACAACTGCATCATAAAGCCAGTTTCTGCTTCTCTGAGTTCTACAAACAAGAGGGATATTTTTTCAAGCCCAGGGTAGCAAAGCACCATTATTTAAAGCACCCAATGGAATTTTCATAATTCACAAAGCACAGGCAGTATCCTATTTCTGAAGGAATGCATCACACCATCTATTCAAGATTCAGATTACTCGTATCAAAAGACCTTGAAATGCTGGGTAAGCCTATTCTTTAGTTTGCTGGTAAGTCTACTTGGAATAATCAAACTTAACCTTCAGGTTGAATATCAGTGTTATTCATATTTGTAGTTGTCACTCAAAGAATTTTCCTTTGCTGATTTTAATGGTTTTAACCAGGAGTTCACAGGATCTATAGCTGTCATGGGCCTATCCCTAGGCTATAAGCTCTATCGCAAGCCCTGGTGAACAGAGCCCTGGGTGTCAATTTGGTGGACTTATCTATATATAGTCACACACACATTGAATCTAATTATCAGAACTGATTTAAATGAGATTACTTTGGAACTACAAAATTTTGACTTGATATCATCAGATGTATTTTTATGTCATTACATTTCTGTTGCTAAGATATATGAAGAAAATCCAGAGAGAGAAAAAGGCAAAAACTTGACTAGCAGTTGCTCGTTACTGTCCCATGGGAACACAGTTACTTCCTTTCCCCTTCACGATTCTCTGTGGCTGTCTTGCTTTGCTGTTATGGACGAGTCAGGGGTAAGGCTCCTGCACCTGACAGAGGTGCTGGTTCATCTCATACGTACCCTGTTGAAGCCTGCATGGAGAAGAGGAAGGACTGAGGCCTCTTCGTGGTCATCTGATCTGCAGCAAAGCAGAAAATGTGGTCACTCAGAAGATACAAACCAGGATTCCTCACACTGAAACATGGAGAGAGAGCAATGAGGCCACATACATTAGCTCTAAGAGTGGCTTCCTGACCAGCATGTGCCCACAGGCGCACCTGCCTTCAGGAACACATACCCCACATCTGCCTTCGAGATGCAAATAGAACAAAAATGGTAGAGAAAACACCAGCAGTCTGCCTGAAAGTGTCACACCAGTGCACATGAGTGCCGTCTCCAACTCTGGGCTGCCAGTTAAGGTTGGAGCAAAGGCAGGGGAACAGTCCTCCAAAGGGACACATTCGGGCACTGCTCATCCTGCTTTGCTATACCTGAACCTTCTGGAAGCACAACTCCCACCCCAAGACCTGGCTGGGTGCAGCTCTCATGTGAGGAAGACGACCCACATTACAGGCTGCAGGACCCACAGCTAAATCGAAAAGAAGTATCAGCAGGTATGCAAAGTTCAAAGAGAGAAGAGAAAACAAAAAATGTAAGAGTCACTCATTTCTCGAGAAGGTTCCTTTCCTGAGCCTCCAGTTGGGTCCCAGGACTTCAGTCTGAGTACAAGGAGGGGGTGTGAGCTGGCTTTTCACAAGGACACACTGCTGCTGGGCTTTCACCATTATGAGAGAGAAATAGTGTCCCTGAGACAACCTCAAGTAACATGGGGTACACACCCTGAAAATCAGGGAAGAAATAAGGGACTGGATGGAGATGCAGGTGGAAGACAGGAGGAGAAACCCTAGCGTTTATTTGAGGCATTACTCATGGCTGATGTCTGCACTACTGGGAAAAGCAGTCTCCCTAACTCCTTTTTCCTTCAGGAATTCGAGGTTCTACCTTCTCTGGAAGATAAATCATGAGAGGCATAAAAAGGGTTCCAAAGGTATTAATAATGTTGTAGTTCTTAAAGTTGGTGACACAAACCAAGTATTTGTTTTATTATCGCCCTAAATATGAAATATTTTATAATAACAATAGAAAAAAAAAAGGTGAGAAATCATATCAACTAAGCCATAGTAAACCATTACTTGTCAAGGACTAGTAAACATTTTTGCTATATCAGTAGGAAAAAAAAAAAAAGAAGGTTTTATTCTTGAGCCCATAGAGTAAGCCAGGCTTGGGGGAAATGCTGTGTGACTAATACATTTCTGGTATCCATGGCCACAACCCGAAGACCCTGTTAAGATCTCAGGGTGGCCAGAAGATCAATGTAAGACAGGCTGAAGGAGGCTGATTTCACATCTCAGTTCCCTTCACTCCTTCCCCTTGGGATCTCATCTCCCACTAGGATGGCGAGGCGTAAGGAATCAGCGGGGACAGTTTTGTCACTTTCTTTGGGCCATAGCTGTAGTAGGCATCAAAGAAGGTGAAGAGACAGCTCTTAAGTTGAGAGGCTTAGAGAGTGGTATGGAAGCAGGAGCCTTTGGTAAGGGTGAGACTTTGAAGCCATGATTTCCTACTTTACCAATATGACTGAGGAATGAGGTATTTCAAGTCTCCCCTGGGCCAGGCTTGCCCAGGGAGCCCTAAACTTTCTTGTCTGAGTTTTTGTCTTGGCAGCTCCTTTGTTGCAGAATCTGTACCAAATGCCACAATGGGGCCAAATCCAATAGGTCCTAGGCCCTAATTAAGGTCTCATTTTCTCTTAAGCTAATGACATCCATTAAGTGTCTACAACAAATTTTGTTACTTGCAAAGATTCCAACCATTGCAGCTTGTACAAACACCTTTTTTTGTTCTTGCTGCCTCTTTTAAGTGCTGGCCATTTCAGCCAATAAACCCAGCAGAGCAGTTTCTCATCCTGCAGTCTCACTGCCCCTGCCACTCAGTCCTTCTTTGCGTTCAGACACTGGCATAAACCCTACTGTCCCACTTCTGGCCACAGAACAGTCCCATCATCAACTTCACAATCCTTTTCTTACAGAGGATGTAGTGCCTCTTTGATCTCATGCTATAATTTGTTTCTTCTTCAGTGCAAAACAAGCATTTCCCCATCTCTTTTCTTCACAGAAAAAAAGATAAACTGGAACAATGTTCTCTCCAAACTCCTCTCCTCCTCAGATTTTCCCTTCATTTCTGGCATATAATGGGTAAACTTTTTTCCTGAGGTGTAAAAGTGTGTGCTAACAGCAATTACATATGATAGAGAGAAAAAAGCCTAAGTATTTCCAGAAACTCGTGAAACAAACAAAACCCCCAAAGCAAGATCGGTTGGTATTCCAGGGCCCTGGACATGCCCATCTCTTTGCTAGCTCAAAAGCTGGATGAGCTCAGACAAACATTTCAGAAGGAACAGTACTACTCCCAGCTGGGCATGGGAGGCGAGCTTACGCTTGTGAGACCACCGCCAGGATCACTGTGTGCTCGGAGGGATTGGTGGCCCGGATCGACCTGCAATGAAAAGGTTCCAAGTCAAACAAGGTGATCTGGGCTTTGTTACATTAAACGAATGTGGATCTTTTTCACATTGAAAAATGGCACAAGATCAAATTTTTCTCTAAAGAAAAAGTCTCAAAACACAAGGAAGATAACAAAGAAAGATGCCCTTTAAATTAGGAAATCTCATTTTATTTTTTTAAGAAAATTTTTAAACTCCTTGGCAATTATCCAACAGGTCAGACCTGCCAATTTTCCACTTTGAAAATTGGCAAATCCCACTTAAATTTCATGTTTTTTGATCAAAATTCCACTCTGAAAAAAAAAATTGACAGTCCTACAATCCTCTAGTTAATAGTTTGTACTTGGGGCAGGGGGTAGGGGGTTAATTGGATTGGTTCTTTTTCCTTTTAAAATAGTAGATAGTTCAGAAAGTTGGCCTTATAATAAAAATAAAAGCACTTGCTGGCAGCTGGATCTACAAATGCAGGTGAAAGCCTGTTAAAGACAGTACAAAGAGCCACCCAAACTTCTTGGTGGTACTGTTGTTTGTGCTTAAATACTTTTAAACAACTCCGTCATCAACTGGGCCTGAGGAACATTGCAATATAGTAACTGTCACTATAAAATAATATTTGTTGTACTATGACCACCTGTATATACTCAGTTTACTCCCTGGGAATTTAACAGGATCAAAATACGTAAGGGTATAGAATTTTCAGGTCCATGAGTCTTCTTAGAAGATGTATTATGCTGCAGTTCAGATTCTAGACTATTCTGGTCATGGGGTCATGAATTGGACAAATTTTTTTTTTCTTTGCAGCTGGCTGGTAAGGGGATCTGAATGCTTGATCTAGGTATTATCAGCACTGCACTCTAACCAAGTGAGCTAACCAGCCAGCCTGGACAAACTTTTAATAAAGGACCCCATATTTGAATCAGTGCAAATCAGCATGCTTGTTTTGACCCATCCCCTTGGTCTGACCTCTGCTTATTTTGAGATCCTTTGAAAGGAAACTGTCACCCCCATGAACAGAATTGTTCCTGAGGAATTTGTGAAACCACATGTATTTGTTTCTCTCTAGCTGTGGGCATTTCTGCTCCTCTCCATTTTAACGTGTTTGCACTGCTGCTCCCCCAGGGACCGCCGGATCATATTGCTTCATCCTCTTCAACTCGAAAATTTCCTGACCTTTCTCAAAAAATGTAACTTCTCCATGTCTTGTTCCTTGAGACTTCACTCAGTGTGGGCGGAAGGCTCAAGAAAATGATCAGCTGCCATTTTCCTGGGAAGCGAAGTTTCACTTGTGGATAAATGGTATTTGAACAAGCTCCTTTGAAGAGACTGCCTTATTGAATTCACAGTGGGGCAGGGGAGATAAGTCAATGCCCCTCCAATGCCCGCACAGACTACTTCCCACTCAGCCATTCCAAACAGCAGGTCCTACTAAGATGCAGCCACACGTAGTTTATATTTAGGAGCCTACTGAATACTCAGCAAAAACACCAGTTAGCACCTAATGAGAAAAGTACATGGTGTTTCAAAGACACGCTCTGCCTCCCTGACCCCAGTGAAGCATCATGGGGACACTGCAGGCTACACTGTAATGGGGAAGGGTCTTGGGCAAGAAGCTAAAACATGGAATGGATGTTAACTGGGCTGGGCATGCTCTCTTGGCTTCTTTTGGTATTAGCTTCCCTTTTTTGGGGTTGCTTCCTGCTGCTCCCTCTTTCTGCTCATGCCTCCAAAGGAACTTGTGTGGTAAGAAGAACCTACACCTCTTCTGGTTGAGAGGACTAAGGGAGACCTGGGGATGGGTAGGACTGGGCTCCAAAGAAGCCTGTTAGGTGAAGGTCCAGCCTAGCTCAAAAGCCAAGGACCTAGGACCATAGATGACCAGAAAGAATGCACATCTGCCAGGAGTGTGACCTCCATTCATCTCCATAGGAAACGAATGTGTGCTAGAAGTCAGACATTCAGGAATCTGGCCACCCTCTGCATGAGCAGTAACAGCCAGTAAACACACAGCAGGTATGTACACCTGGCTTCTGAACTTTACAGATCCCCCATGGTTGTTCCGTGCAGCTAAGACAGAGGTACATTTCTTAGAAAACAAAACTATATGTCCTTATATTCAGAGAAGAATGTGTAGCTTATCTGCTAAACTAGGCCTTTGCCTGAATTAAAAGATTTATTCCTATTATTTTTTTCTTTACAACTGAAGCTTCTTTTAAATCATTCTACATATGCACAAAGGACTGTGGTATTTTTACTATAAAACCATGTAAGAAAAGTAAGTGAAGGCCAGGAAGAATCAGACATAGTTATAAAGGACCCAATTCTACCCTGAAAATCATTTAAAAAGAAAAAATACTTTTTAATACTAAAAATAGCAACCAAGTATTTTATGATATATTTATATGCCTTATTAAATAGGAAAGTATTTCTATGCAGAAAGGTAAGATTATTTGAGACCATTAAAACATCTTAAAATCAGTTACTTACAAAAATTCTTCTTTGGGAAATTGAAAATCATCAAAGACTAGCAAGGCAATTCCTGTGATAAGAAACTTCTCTTAATGCATTAATTTCTTGTCAGCGTACCAAATCTTCTAAGAAGCCATTTCCCCACCTTCCACATCACTTACTAACACTCAAGAAAATTCCAGCTCCGTATGCAATTGAACTCTGTCCCGGGCTAACATTTAATTAGTGACCTCTTCCCATCTAGCTTCAAAGCATTCCACTTCTGCTAAATGGATCAGTTCACCCAGAGCTAATTCTTATGAGTGTATTTATTTATGTACGGGCATGTGTTTCTTCCCCAGACTGCAAGCGTTTCTGTAAGTGAGCAGGGGGCTTGGGTCCCTGGAAGAGTTTGTGCTGCTGCAAAGTGGCTGCCTTCACTCCATGACTGGGAAGCCTGCTGTAGGATCTACCCATCTGTGTCAGGCAGGAAAAAATGTACATTTCACACATTTCTGATGTTCATTTTGGGACAGAATAATGAAGACTAAAATATCTTGTTTAAATCCAAACTGTATCTGTGCAATAAGAACTGTGTGAATTTTAATGTTTTTTATGAGCAATACTCAGGTTGGAGTGTTCATTTTGGGACAGAATAATGAAGACTAAAATATCTTGTTTAAATCCAAACTGTATCTGGGCAATAAGAACTGTGTGAATTTTAATGTTTTTTATGAGCAATACTCAGGTTGGAGGGGGGTGAAGGGGATTACCCTGAAGTTTTCCGGGGAGCCCAGCTCACACCTCTAAATTCAGCACAACTCAAATGTGGAAAAATAGAAAAGGCAAGATAAATCGACAATAGCTATAGCACCCCGGTAATCTGTATATACTGCTTAGAAACATCAACACGTATTTTTAAAATATTTGGGATGAAACTAAAGACATCTATAAATGAAGTTTATTTTAAGCTGTCAAGTGGACATTTACAAAGCATATTTAATTAGGAAGGTACCTGCACACCACATCTGCATTGAAGGTCCGAGTTTGCCTGTGATCGATTACGATAATTTCATGATGCTTATCTAGAAAGCATTCGAGGGCTGACTCTGGAGTCCGAGCAATATTGCATCTATAACCGGCTCTGTCACAGGCCCACCAGAAGCCGTCACTCTGACTATCTTCCTTTGCAAAGATCAGCAAAACCTGAAACACAACGAAAAGTGCATCTTGGCAGAAATCATCATCCTCAGAGACTGTATTAAAAGCAAGACTACTGGTTAAACAGGGCCTCTGGAACCCTACCTGGGTTCAAATCCCAGCTCCTTCAATTAGTTACAGTAGTCTTTGAACCAGTAATTTCATCTCTTCAACCTACGGTTTCTTTGCTGTGAGATGTAACAGGAACAGTGCCACATAACCGTTCCTGAGAGCTGAGTGACTGAGCACAGAAAGGTGTGGCAGTTGTTATTTGCCGCAGTTACAAGCACATATTTTCAATTTCCTAATCAGCTTTGTTTTTAAATAATATAAGCAGTAAAATTATTAACAGGATAATTATCACTGGCTAGCTTATGGCTCACATACACCTGTATCTGGTTCCAGTGCGAGTTGTATTTGCTGCAAAGTCCACCTGTCTAAACTTAGCACTAAAATACTTATAAAATAGGAAAGTAAGGGAATTCAGAACATCCTCAAAAACTAATTCTAACACCCGACCCTTGCCAGAATTTGGAAATAATGATCATGAAATGGGGAGCTGATGGAGCTAAATTGAGAAAAATTTGCCTCTGTTTGCCTCATTGAAAAGCACAGCCCCACCTACGGGAATGCCAGTGGCAATATTTTACCCACCATGCCCCTCATTATCCCCTGGGTTCAGGAACCCAGAAAGCCAGAGACAGTCTTACCATGACCTAAACTAATTTACCTATGTATGGTCTACCTCCCTCACCAGAGAATGAAGCTTCAGGAGACCAAGGACTCACCTGTCTTGCTCTGCTGTACCTCCATGCCCAGCACCTGGCTGCCACTTAGTAGCTGTTTGGTAAATATTTGATGAGTGAAAGACTAACTACTTGTAGGGTTTTCTGAGAAATGCAAGAGGGCTTTACTATTAACAGAAGTAAGACTATCTCCCAGGAATAGGTACAATAAGAAAAACATATAATAATCTCAAGATATTGATAAAGCATTTAATATTCTTCAGTATCCACTTCTGGCTTAACCAATTAAGAACAGAAGGGTAGTTTCTCAACATGGAGAGCTTTTAAGCCAATAGTCAATATCATCTGTCAAGGTAAAATATCAAATGTGTTTCATTTAAAATCAGAAATAAGCCAAACTGTCCAATCATTACTGTTACATTTGAAAAATATTTTATTAATTGAAAATTGGAATATATAGAAAAGTAAAAACAATAATGTAATGAATTTCATGTAGCCATCACTCAGCTTCAGCAACAACCAACTCCTGGTCAGTCTGGGTTCAATCTATACCTATCTACTTTCCC